TCCATAACACGCGACATCTGCTCAATCAACGGTCACGTGCTTCGCTATCGACAGTTATCTTAGCGGCCCTCTCAGGGCATAGAGGCTAACCTCAATGTTTCCAAAAGTCATATCTGTAGGTTGTGAGTGGTAGCTTTCGATCCATATTGTTCACTTCTTTTTTTCCAAAGTTTGTTAGTGGTGCTCGTAATAATGATTGACGCAGCCAAAAACACTATCGTCTAAGGTTTGAACTTTGCGTGTTGTTAAAAGACGCAAAAATATATGTAATAAAGGAGGTTACAGTCAATTTGGTGGCTTGGCTCTGTTGGGGTATTGCACTTGGAAGCTAGAGCGTCCGGGGTCAAGTTCCTTTCCGACCCTAGCTGGAGTTTCTTTACCATAGATCTGAGTTCAACTCTACGACGACGTTTGTAAGAGGGCTAACTGGTCTGCCTCCTCTCAAATAGCATTCCGGCTAATTTTTTATCTTGTGTTTTCAATATTCGTTTGTAATGTGTGTTTTGTTATCCCGTGTGGCCTCTCATTGGGAGAGGATACTTAATGACTTTTTTTAATAGCAACCATTCTACCTAAATTTCTGCAGAAATAGTTACATTTTTGAGATTGTGTTTATTTTGGAAGGAATCGAGATCTTGATGTCTTTTCTAAAATATGTTCCCTTCCAGGTGGCTCACCATATCCACAAATGGATGGCAGAAAAATTGTACACTGGCTACAGCAAGGACACAGAATGTCGAAGCCACAACACCTGAATGAAAAATTGTAACCAGCTCTTCTTTTTACCTTTTATGTCAACATTATTGTTGTTGAACATGAAATTAGTTGCAGTAGTTGCTTGAGTTCTGCGAGTAATATAATTAGTCCTTAGGCGCCTGCCGGCGAGGAGACGAGATGACATGAGATACTAAATGAATACTAGTATTAAGAAATTATTATCCTGCATTATCTAGTTCACCAAGAAGCCTAACTAAAACGTCAGCACCACAGCCCCCTGCCCCCTTCCCTCTTTGCCTCTTCCCCGTTCCCCTGAAAGAGATGTTAATCCATTTAAGTTTATCCACCCGGCAAGTTTTTCTCCTTGGTCCAAAATTTCAACAATACAAAAAACCTTAAGGGCCGTAGCCATGGCTCGAACACAGACCACTAGTAATCAGCATTAGGCCACCACGCCTCCTAACGGATGTAACATCATGACTTCTTAGTTTATTCAATTTTAGATATGGAATAATGACGAAATGCTGGCAAGAAAACCCAGATGAAAGATCAACATTTACTGAACTGAGGAATGAACTCAAAGAAATGGAAAACCAACACAAGGTAAGCTCATGGGGGATCGATTTTTAATTGTCAAAATTAATTTCAGTTTTAAAACAGCACTGGGAATGTTTATCAGGAGTTATAGTGAACCAGCCCAGACGGCTGCCGTTTCCGTTTGTTGATTGCAACACGCTTACGATACCAAGTGAAAGCATTGATCACAGCTCTTAGTAAGACCTGGAAATTCAACGGGGATGCGAGGAAATTTCGGGTAAAACCTACAAAACTGCCCGAAAGTACCTCTCATTCGGGTGGCATTATATTATGCATGATGCAAATAAGACACAATTACCGTGACGAGCTATTGGATTCTTGCACGGCAAAAGTTGCAAGACCCCTTGCAAGCTAAATGAACGTTTTGATTATTGGCCTTATTGCCCGACACGTCTGTTGTTATTTGCTAGAGCTTAGCAAATGAGAAAAAATCAGATACTTTCCTTTCATATACGTAGATAAGGTGTCGTAAGGTAACACGGACAAACGTATCAGATGACCTATTACTCTTGTCATATTTTCTTCTCCACAGAGGTTGATCAACATGGAAAAGTATGACAAGCAGTTGTACGCAAACGTTGAAGATTTGGTCGTGTAGGAGATAATAATAATAGTGTAGAGGACAGTACTGACTGACTGTATGGACATTGTAACAGTTACTCCCATAACTCATCAGAATTAGTGCTGTGATGATTTATTTTGGCTTTGGAATTTAGGTTTTTAGAAGGCAGCATTTAGTTTGAAATCGTTTTTTATAAAAAACGGTTAGACTCGCCCAGAATTTCCGCAGTAGAAAGAAAATGAACTTGGTTGGAATTATTTCACTAAGCTCGCAAAAAAAACAAAAAAAAACAAAGGATTTGTTTGGTCTTGACTTTTATACACGAGAAAGAATCCAGTACTTTGTCAAAACTTCTCCCTGATAGGCTGGTCTCGAAGAATTGTTTGTTCTAGTTAATAAGATTCTTACACAACTATTTAAAAAGTGTTCGGATCCCTCGTAAATGATTCCTTGTAACTACAATCCCAGACAAAAAAGTTGGAACACGAAGCAAGTTCTCCCCTTCCCCCACTTTCAATGTTGATAATCAAGTAATTTTTACCCTTTTTGTCGGAAAAAACGCGATATTTTTCAACATTCGTTAGGGGGGTGGGGGGGCGCATAGGGGATAGGTGATGCTGCTCAAGTGTCTCAACTACGTTTGGCCGGGATTGTAGTTCACCTAACGTCGTGCCCTTAGATGGAATACAAACTGAACGTAGTTATCAATTCTCAGTTCTACGTTCGTTAGAAGTTCTTTAGCAAGTTCTTTTACAAGTTTCGTAATTATAAGTTCATTACCTCATCACCGAGAAAGGAATATCCCTGAAGGCTCATGAGAAAGCCGCTCTAATCTCCTCTGCTAGTGCCACAACTGATGCGAGCGTTATTGTTCGAATGATGTTGTGGTTTAAGCCCTTGCTAGTATACTGGCGGAGGATGTGTGTGAAACCACACCCATGGCATAAAAACTTTTATTCAGTAAAACATGTACTGGTTATGCAACGCGAGTCGCTTTGGAGTGGTGTACCATGAAATATCCCACGTTTTAATTTCTCTGTTTACACACAAGTCTT